CCAGCTCGGGAAGGCCACTCAAGCAGAGGGCATCGTCCTCGCGGAAGGAGACCCAGGCATGGTTGCCACTCGGGTGAAAGCCATTGCCGGGAAAAATGTGGTGACCCAGACGGAGCTCCCAAGCAAACGTGCAGCTGTCGAGGGCTCCGGCTGCAGGGAGTGCCTGAGCCTGTCACCGGTGCCGCAGGGCAGCGGGGACAAGCCCTGTGTGCGGCGTGACCAGGTGGGTGATCTGCTCAGCCTGGTGGCAGAGCTGAAGGAGGCGGCGGAAAGGTTGAGGAGTGTCAGGGAGTGTGAGAGGGAGAGAGATTGGTGGGCCCGCACCCTGCCATCCCTGAGGCGGAGGCAGCAGATGGAGGCTCCGCAAGAAGCGGAGGTTCCCCTGCCCTCCTGCCGCCAGGCAGGAGGGGACCTGAGAGATGGAGGGGAATGGATACGGGTCCCTGCTCGGGGAGGCAGGCGAATCCCCTCCCGGTCTCCCTCACCTTCCCAGTTGCCCCTAGACAACAGGTATGGGGCTCTGGAACTTGAGGACCAGGTCAATGAAGATCAGGATGCAGATGAAGGCCTACCCAGAGGGGTGCCTAGGCTGAGTCAGTCAGCCCCACGCATTCTGACAGCCTCTGAAAAAAGAAAAAGGAGGGTAATTGTCATAGGCGATTCCTTTCTGAGGGGAACAGAGGGCCCAATGTGCAGACCTGACCCATCCCACGGGGAAGTCTGCTGCCTCCCTGGGGCCCTGGTAAAAGACATAACTAGGAAACTCCCTGGTCTGGTTTGGCCCTCTGATTATTACCCGCTATTAGTTGTGCAGGTTGGCAGTGATGAGGTTGCAGAGAGAAGTCCAAAAGCAATCAAAAGAGACTTCAGGTCACTGGGGTGATTAGTGGAAGGATTGGTAGCACAAGTAGTGTTTTCCTCAATCCCTTCAGTGGCAGGGAAGTATACTGAAAGGAACAGGAAAACACACCTGATTAACATGTGGCTCAGAGGCTGGTGCCATCAGTGGAATTCTGGGTTATTTGATCATGGGGAGAATTACACAGCACCAGGCTTGCTGGCAACAGATGGAGTCCAGCTGTCTCAAAGGGGGGAAAGGATTCTCGCTCATGAGATGGCGGGCCTCACAGAGAGGGCTTTAAACTAGGTTTGAAGGGGGAAGGGGATAAAACTAGGCTCACCAGAGATGAACCTGGGGGCAGCATGCCAATGTTGGGGGTGGAATCGATAGCCCAGCTCAAGTGCATCTATGCCAATGCACGCAGCATGGGCAATAAACAGGAGGAGCTGGAAGCCATCGTGCAGAAGGATAGATATGACTTAGTCGCCATCACAGAAACACGGTGGGATGACTCCCATGACTGGAGTGCTGCAATGGATGGCTATAAGCTCTTCAGAAGGGAT